TTTTCGCAATTTTGAGAAAAAGAATAAGTTATTCATGCTCACACATCGAAGCGATTGGCTTCTGACCTTTGGCGAGTTGACCATGGTGGTACGCTATTCCTAAAAAAAAAACAAATCATATTTTTATTAATTAATACTTATTTTATATTATTTAACGTAATATTTATAATTTTCGCAATTTTGAGAAAAAGTATAAGTTATACCGTCTTGGATGCTCTGTAGCACCACATCCAAAGAATCGAATGACTTCAGCTCGGTTTATGTCATTCTGGCATTGTGGACAAACCTGCTTGATCTCTAACCATCGATGTAGACATGGCCAGCTACATTATTATTATTTATATTATTCAAATCATAGATAATATTTCATTCCTTGATGTGCTATGTTATTATCAAATAAATATTTACCAGGCCAGATGGCCGCACGGAGTGCTTACTGCATCTTTTACTTCTTCAAAACATATCATGCATTTACATATGCCATCCTTTTCCTTACAGTTTGTGCAGTGCGAACGACTTGGACCCGGTTGTTGTTCTTCTGTCATCTTTCAAAAATATCCATATATTAAAAATTTTACAAATACTTTTACGTTTTAAAATGAATAGCTAAATAATCTTTTAACGCATTAATACAATTTTGAAATAACTTGCATTATAGTTAATATAAGAATGTAATTAACTATAATGCAAGTTATTTCAAAATCGTATTAATGCGTTAAAGAATTATTTTGCTATTCATTTTAAAACGTAAAAGTATTTTGTTGTATAACAAATGTATGTGACTCGCATAATGTCGAGGGAGTGTATTCTGAACAAGCGGACGAAAGTGACTTATATACACAGCTTGACAGTCGACTTCGTGTTGTTGGGTATTGTTGCCCGCGGGCCTACCAACGATGGGCCGTACGGATACGCATTTATTCGTATTTATTCTGAACAATTACTCTATATGGCCCCACAATATTTAACAATTTTTTGTATGTTTCACATTCGTACAGAAATACTGCATATTATATACAGTCTAATTTTATTTCGAACGCGATTTCTTGCTCTCGAAGCAATTATAAGCGACGTCTAGAGGATTTCTTAAATACACACACAGGGAACACAGGGAAAGCAAGCGATTTTTCATGAAATCCGCGAGCGACGAACAGTTTGACGAAAAAAAACCCCGAAAATTCGCGGGCTTTAGAACTTTGTCACATAACCGCGACAATAATTCGAAAGCAGCTGATAATTTTGATTGCAAATATTTATTTGACGAATTCTTATGCAAGTACGTTAGAAATGTTAGAATTTTATATTGAAACTGACCTTTCTTTTGAAGCGGCACCAGTCAGTAGTCACCTTATCAAATTCCCACGTCGAAAGAGGCCGATCCACCCCCACGATGATCCTTTTATAGTGGTGGTGACTCACTGCTGTTCCAGAATATTCTAGAACAGGGTGCGTTAATTCAGAGAAACACTATTAGCGCTAATGAGGCAAACGCTACTAACACTGTTCATGGAGCCAATAGTGTCGTAGCGATTGCAAACATCATGAACAGTATTAGCATTAGCGTAGCATTATTCGCATTTTTGTGATCAGCATCGTTTTACGATTATACACATGACTTATAA